ATATATATATTACAAACTACATTTAAATGCTTTGTTATTATGGAGCCTCAAGTTTGAACCTAAACTGAAAAAATATTAACTTAAAGTACATCAGGTGCACTGTGCTGGGCGAAATCAGCACATTAGTAGGCTATGTATCCACCATTAAACCTTTGATGTTTTCCCTCCAAAATTCACTCTCTCTTCGTTTCGGGTTATGTAACATCGATATCCAATAGTTACTTAGTCACGTGTAGAAATGTTGACCTTGATTTTCTTCCCTTGTTTCCATGCCATCAGGAGCAACTGCCTATCTTAGGCGCTGTGATTGGATACAGCAGGGGTAGCAGGGGCTTATGCTGCACCGCCCTCTGCCGCTGGGTGTCGCCGTTGCGCAGCGGGACCTCTTGACGCTTTGACGTCCAGCGCTCTTTGGTTTCTGGTCTAAGTTTGTTTCCGGATGTTCGGCTGGTGTCGTGGAAAAAATAATAATGGCTGCGATGTTTACGTGTTGTCTAGGCTGCTGCGGAGATGGCGGATCGGGGCATATTCCCCTCAAAGAAATGCCCACAGTTCAGTTAGATACTCATCACATGGGTAAGTGAAGTTTGCGTGTAATTCTTGCTGCTCATATAGGAGCAGTTTATGTCTACACACGCCCAGCTGCCTCTCCGTGTATGTGTGTGTGTGGCAAGGTGGTTTGCTACTTCCGCTGCTACTTCTAGCTCGCTAGCCGATAGCTGCTAGTAAATTTTCCTGCGCTGCTAGGCTAAGTGTTTCTGTGTGTTGCAGTGAGCTGCCCTAAAACGTTCATTTGGTAAACTTTCAACAGGCCTTTCAGTTGTTGCTAACCGCAGCTTGACATGACACAAGACAAAGACAGCAACAACTGACCGGACAGAAAATTGAACCTGAGCTCTTTTACACCTGTTCATGGATGGAAGCTGTCAGAATCCCCCTCTTTGCGCCCCAAAGAGAATTTAAGACACACTAAATTACTGTGATTTTAAGCAGAAAGTTATATTTACTTTATATCTTTGGACAGAACGGATTAATCAGCTCGTTTCAATGTTCACTGATAAATGGAGAAATATACACATTTGTCCATTTTTTTCTTGGCCACAACATGTTTCCCACAACATTGTAAAGTATGACTTACTGCTTCCTGGAGATCTACTTAAGTAGACTTCACAACCGGCTATGACAGTAGAAATCACGACACGTGTGCTTTTGTATTTGAGGGGGGGAAAAAAAACATGTTCACCTGTCTCAGCCTCTGCACATTAAGATGGAAGTGAACCAGTAATTTTTAGAAGATATAATCATAATTTAAAAGTTATATTTTTTAAATGGTAGTTGTTACCGTAAAATTAAAGGCATGGCCTCGCCTGGATTCATCATAGGATTACAACTTAAAGGCTATTTTTTATTAAAGTGGTGATGGTCTGGATCAGAATTATTACAATATTAATAATGTAAAAGTCTTTTCAGCTGTTTCACGGGTATCATGTGATCTAGAAAGTGCATATTATAAGTTGAAAGTAAAATCGAGCCTTGCTTTGTCTTGCAGGCACAGATGTTGTCATTGTAAAGAGCGGCCGAAGGATATGTGGAACCGGAGGCTGCCTGGCCAACGCTCCTTTGCACCAGAACAAAAGTTATTTTGAGTTTAAGATCCAGTCCACTGGTGAGCACTTGGTTTTTAAGCCTTTTAGTTATCGTCTTCTTTTCCTTCATGATTGCAATTTTCTGCGTTCCTGCTGGGAGTTATTGACACACTATTTTTAGATGCACACTGGTCTTGTGACTGCATGCTCACTGGTTCATGCTTACTTCTTCTTGCAATGACCATATTTGAAAGCACACATTATATTTTTGCACGTGTAGTTTGTGGTAAAAGAGTGATTGAGATGACATTCTCAACAGTTTTAAAACAAACAATCAGATCTCAGTCCAGAAAAACATTGTAGTAAAGTTTGTAACATAGATTGGAGGTCATCAAATATCAGGATAGTTTGGAATACACGTTTTAAAATGAACATGTTATTGGTGTGTGTGCCCTTCACATCTTCGTACTTGAGTGGTGTGCTTTGTGTGTAGGTGTGTGGGGGGTAGGTGTGGCAACCCAGAAAGTGAATCTCAACCAAGTGCCTATGGGCAGAGACACAAACAGCCTAGTCCTGAGGCACGATGGCTCCATTTACCACAATAATGAAGAGAAGAATCGTCTACCCGCTAACAGCATTCCTCAGGAGGGGGATATTGTGGTAAGTCACAAAAATAATTGGGCTTAATTACATATTTAATTTTGATGCCCTGATCTTTGAAATGTTTAAGTGTTATTAGTTGGGCTGTGAAGCTAAAAATGGAGAACTGTTTTGTGGGGAGAGGGTTTTCTCGGAATCTCGTGGAATCAATTAGAACTGGGGTGGGAACTAAAAACATTAACTTTTATCCTAAAGGCTGTTCCAGAGATAAAAATATCTTCTGTTGTAAGTACCGAAACGATTCATTGCAGTGAACATACTCTACACAGCTGCTGATCATCCCTTTTTTATTACATATTATTGGAATTGTTCACAAAACTGTCAGGACTCTGAAATAAGTTTTAAAAAGATAAAAGTTTAATGAGTTCAGACTTGAGGTTGGAACAAATTGATTTTTTAAAAGCAGATTGATGGTGTAGAAATTCCAACCACGCTCTTTATAGGGCAATGTTTGGTTCTGCCACTACTATACAGCTTTACCATAAGTTAAACTTTGGTCACCGTGGAAACCCTTCAAGTCTGTTAGTAATTCAAGGTTTTATTTGTCACATGCATAGTTATACAAGTATAACACACAGTGAAATGTAACCTGACACGCTCCTCGACATGTGCAAAAATGGGGGGGGGGGGGAAAACATATGTATATATATATATATATATATATATATATACACACACACACACACATTGGGTGAATGTGCAGTAGTAGCAGCAGCAAGCAGGTGAATTCTGTACATTAATATGAAAAGACATCTGACTATTTTACAGGACAGACAATATAAACATATTTAAAATTAAAGGAATTTGAAATGTGTCTGGGTTTAGAGTGTCTGGAAGAGTCCTGTCTCAGTCAATTATAGATGATGTGAGTTTAGATGATGTGAGAGGATGTGTGTGTGTTTAGGGCACGGATGGCTTGGGGATAGAAGCTCCTCTTGAGTCTCTCTGTCCTTGCCTGGATGATGCGGAACCTTCTACCAGATTGCAGAAGTTGGAACAGGTTGTTGCCAGGATGGGACGGGTCCTTCAGTATCTGCGCTGCTCTAGTCCGGCATCTCCTGGTGTAGGTGTCCTGAAGCGGGGGGAGAGCAATCCTGCAGCAGCGTTCTGCTGTACGGATCACTCTCTGGAGAGCTTTTTAGTCCTTCACACAGCTGTTCCCGAACCACGATGTCATGTTCTGTGTGAGGATGTTCTCCACAGCGCCTGTATAGAAAATCCTGAGGATCTTTGGAGAGACCCTGAACTTCCTCAGTCGTAGGTGATACAGGCGCTGCCTAGCCTTTTTGGTCTGGACCTGAATGTGGGCAGCCCATGTCAGGTCTGAGGAGATGTGGACACCAAGATACTTGAAGGACTGCACCCTCTCCACTGGAGCTCCATTGATGATAATGGGCTTGTAGTCTCTGTGCTGACCCCTTCTTAATAGTAGTACGAGTGCACCAAAGTCACCTGCCTTAAAAGAAAGCAAGAAGCTATTTCTACAGATTAACTTGACATACTGGAACTACGTAAATGCAAAGGAAGAAACTTGTGCAAAGAGAATTATGAACTCTTTCCCCCAGAAAGACATTTGATGACCTCCCCTGTACCCTTTAATGGCGATTTTTGACACCTCAGACACTCCTTTTGATTCTTTTCCCCATAAAGACACGGTTTGATGATTAAAGTAGGTTCCGTATTTTTCCAAGGATAGCTGCATAGGCTGAGACCACCCTCGTAATTTCTGATGTGAACCCAGTTATTTGGTTTTATAAGCAGGCCTAAACTTTGACAGAAACCACTCAGATCCCAGTAGACTTTTAGTAGGCTTTAAAGGGGTAAAGAGTAAATCTATAAGTGATTATCATTAATTTTATTATGACACAAAGTATTTTAATTTTCATCAAATTCAGATCACTCACTCACTCTGCACTGTGTTTCAGATTTAGCTGTTTGAATCTTGTCTGACACACACGGAGCGATCCATCTCTGCAAATATTTTTGCTAGAGAAACCAACTTGTATGAAAGTTGTGATTGATCACTGAGTTGCTATACTGAGATTGTTTGACGTGTGTGACTGTGAACATGCTCACCATACACACAATTCAAGATGAGCTTATATTTTTCAGAAAGCAATAGGATTTATCAGATCCAGCATTTGATCTGTGGTGTTTGTTCTATCCTATATGATGGTATTCTGCAGCCCATGTGCAATGAGTCTGCACATTTAATATCCTTTATTTATATCAAATAATCATAAAGACAGATGCAGTCACAAAGTTAAAAAGAATATAAGTGCACGGCCTCTCTCAGGGACAGTAACCGGACAGCTCATTAGCAGTCGATGCTTTTCGACAGTTGTTTCTATGTAAGTAAGTTGAACTTTACACAGCTTGTAACTAACTAGCTTGTAAGGTTGTGGTGGAGCACACATGTACGTTATCATCTGTTCTCTTTATCACTTCTTACTGGAACACTAGGCAGCTAAACAAACTGACATTGGCCCTCACTAGTGTTTCTTGAGTGATTCAGGCTACTTAGGCATACTTCTAAACTCTTAAGCCTTTGATTACAAAGGCTAAAATTTAATTTACGGGTTCAATCGGCTAAGTGCTGATGATTATTGCCTCTTTTCCGCTGATGCAGTGCAGTTTTGAGTCAGTTCTCGCTCGGCGCCTTTTGAGTACAAGCCCACATTTTGACAGGTTTGAAAACCAGCTGTGTGTGGAAGAAGTTGGGGTGATTTCTGTGGGAAGAATGTCATGAACACATTCAGTATGCGGGCTATAAATCATCTTTTTTGGGGGTAGCCGCTCCCATTGATGTCAGTGGTTTCAGCTTTGGGAGCAGCAGTTTTGTGCTACAGTGTTGGTGGGTTTGTTTGTTTTTGCTTTAAATGCGTAGAACCGGTTTTGTATTAGACACTAACACTGTGTTGGTGGCAGAGATTTAGCATGTCTTCATCAAAAAATGCTTTGGCATGTTTTTTAAATCCAACTTTGTCAGTCCCATTTTCATTTGCCATAAGAGGAGAAAGCAAAGAAGTCTGTGAGATGGGAACCTTAGTGTCTTGTATTGTCTTCTTGTCTTTGTTTATTTGATAAAAGTTCTGTTTAAAAGAGAAAAAAACAACTTTTCCTGCTTCTTTTAAAATATAGGAAAGATTTTAAACATGGCACAGATGTAAGCTGTGACCTCCCGAGATAAGATACTTCAACAAGAGTTTCATGCTTTTCTCAGCTTGTGTATTTGTGTTCCTCAGGGAATCACATATGACCACGTGGAGCTGAATTTATATCTGAACGGAAAGAACATGCATTGTCCTGCCTCAGGGATCCGAGGCACTGTATACCCCGTTGTTTATGGTAAGTTGATTTCATATGTTCACTAGTTACCAATGATTGCTAACTATATGATCATTGTTGCCTTACTTGAATATAAAAAAAAAAAAAAATGTATGGATCTTTTTGTATTCGTTACAGCAGTTACAACTTGATTCCACTAGAGGGCTGTATTGCACATCTTTGCACAGCTGTTCTACAGACAGGCTGACAGTTTTAGTTGAATTGAGTTTAATAGAGTTTTTAATGTGAATATTTTGCCACACACAGGAAAGAGTGTTCTATTTGAACTGATCAAACACAGCTTTCATCGGAAGGCAGTGGCCTTGCCACGGAGAATCAAGACATGCATAATTTCGTCCAGTAAAAACTTACTGCAATGATTTCAGTGACTTGATTCAGTTCTCCATCTGATGTGTGGAGCTTGTCCAGATAATCAGCTGGTGGTTTTATGTTGGACAGCACACATGTAGGATGTTTGCTCTTGACCTGAACTCTCTAACTAAAACCGTGATCAGAATGCAATCGCAAGTGTCCCAAATTGCATTTAACATCCGGGGGGGTGTCATCACCTGGAACCTGATCACATCACCTTTAATTTGGACTGATTCCATGTGTACTTGTAAATCAGATCTTGGTGTAATATTGTGGCATAAACAGCCAAATCAGAATTAATTCGCTAGCATTTCCCGAGTGTCTGAGAGTTGTAGGTAAAGGTTGATGAAATCCGTTTCATTTATGCCCCCAATCCCAACCACTGTAATTCTGCATACGCAAACACATGTATAATGTGCTGTTTTCATCCCTGTGTTTGGTAACATTGTCAGACAACACACGTACACAGGCTCAGGTTGAGGTTTTGAGAGTTTATCTTATAAACAGAAGAAAACCTAAAGCTGTTTTCACAGAGTATATACTTTCAGGGTCTTTAGAGGTTAAATTCAACTATAGAAAAGTTAAGATGTGAACAAGAATACAGTGTCTGAACTTATGATTGATCGTGTCTTTATCTTCTGTTCTAGTGGATGACAGTGCCATCTTAGACTGCCAGTTTAATGACTTCTATCACACTCCTCCACAAGGATTTGAGAAGATCCTCTTTGAACAACAAATCTTCTAAAGGAGCACTTCGGCCTCAGCCCCTCTATATGTTGTCGCCCTCCTCTATATCTCTTAGCAACCTCTGTATCACTACAGTTTGACCTTAACTGGTAGTATCATTATGCGTGGCTTGGAGGCATCTTGTTTCGTTCCCCCTGTTTACTCTCTCTCTACTGCTGCTCTGGATTGACTTTAGAGTACCCATGAAGAAGTGGGGATTTCTCTTCCTTGTTCGACTACAATCGGCTGTCACAGTCCATGATGATGGAAAGCTGTAAAATCACAAACTTATGTAAATAATAATCGATCTGTATTAATTGAAAACCTTTCAGTTGCTGCTTTAATCCACAATACATGTGTGTAGATAACAGACAATGGATGTAATGGTATGTTCACTGTTTTTGAGGATGAGAAGCCATGTGTTATTGACATTGCTTTATATATATATATATATATATATATCATCCAAAATATCATACTAACATCTCAGCATACACCCTGTATTTATTTGTATTTATTTGGTTTCCAGATCAAAGTTTGGCATGTTATTTTTTTGATATAATATGTATTTTGTTTTGGCCAGCAGAAGTTAGTGACCCAATGAAGGGTCAGCTATAATTCTAATACACTAACTATTACGCTGCCTTTTTGAATTATCACGCAATGAAAACATGGAAGTACCGCAACACTTTTATGATTTATGTCACTGCATTATTTAGAGTTGATAGGGAGATTAATACAAACAATAAATCGGTGCACATTCCAGGAGGTGATGGTGCTGGAGACTGACATATTTCTGAAATTGGAAACACTAATATATATATAAATCACTTCTTTGAGCAGCCTTTTTTTCACCCTAAAAAATATAGATTGTGTGTATTCTAAGTATCTGAATATTTCCAGAGCTGGTGTTGGTCGTCTCTGATTAGAGATACATCAGAAACGTGGAGTTGTCGTTATGTACAGATATCGCATATCCGCTGCTGAAGTGTGACGAATAAATATTTCAAATGCTTGTCCTTGTTTGCACTAATGATGTTATTGTATGAAACCAAATATTGTTGATTCATTAAAGTTTTGTGTCTGGCGGCATCATTCTGGACCACTGTCATGTCTTGAGATCATGAAGCTGAGTGTTTTTCATTTGCCTCGCTGTTAACGTAGCGGTTTCGCAGCTTTTTTACGTCCGAAAGTCGTCGTCGTGCGCAGTAAATCGCAGGTAAATTTATTGTCACTGCATCGAGGAAAGCCGTGGAAACCAGGGCAGCCCAGACAGGAGGTATGCAATAACTCCTCCCCTCGCTCTGCGATCTGTTACGTACTCCTCCCTCTCTTCGGAGCCAGCAGCGGCGCAGGAGCTGCCGTGCCTCGTCTTTCACGGAGGAGATCCCGAAAGCCGGAGTAACAGCTAAACCCCATACAGCCATGGCAGAAAACGCCGGCTTAGAAAACCACCGCATCAAGAGCTTTAAAAACAAGGGGCGTGATGTCGAGGTGAGCTGACATATAAACGCTAGTCTTCGTAACACGACTCGAATTAGATTTATGTAGAAAACGACAGTCTTTGGGCCTCCGTGGGGAGCCTGGCCCCGGCAAAGCTCCCTGCCAGCCAGCCAGCCTGCTAGTTAGCAAGCTAGCTGGCTAATGCGAGCTATCGTGAGGAGTTCGCCATCAAAGGTGCTATCTTGCTACCGGTAAAATTCCTCGTAATGAACCAAAGGTGGTGATAGCTATCAAGTGCATACCAGTGGCTTGCAAATATTGTAATGTTTGTGAACGACAAACTGTGTTCTATTTGAATCGTTGGAACTGGGGGAATTAAAGGCAGACGATGTAGCTGTCAGTGCCAGCTAGCGTTGACTAGCTACTTGCAGAGACACCGGTCACAAGCAAGGCTGGGCCCTCCCGGCTCCGTAATCCTGATGTTCGCTCTGTTTTACAGCCAGCTGAACTCAAATGACACCCGTTTTAACTCGCGGCTGTCTCACACAATTGCCATATTAAGCAAAAAGAAAGTGCGTGTGTAATTAAATGTCTGTTCCACATCCACCCTAACCAAATATTGCCCCTCCTTGTTAGCTTGCTAATGTCAAGCAAATGACTAGCATGCGATGCCAGGTGAGGCGGCTGAAGAGGGCTGCTAACTAAGCCACTAAATGGTTAGCTGAAAGGTAGTGATGCGGTGACCTTAGCTTTACGGTACATTTTCAATCAGAAAAGCAAACTACACTGAAATTGCTACAACACCACGATGAAGTGAGGAGAGTCACTTTAGGCACAACATTAAGCTTGCATTGCTGTTAATAATAACTTTTTCTGACACTGCGGTTTTTTTATGAAATTTCTTAAGTTAATCTTAGATATATTTCCTAATAAACAGTGCTGTTACAGAATAAATGGTGAGGACATTCATATCAGATTCGCTGCTAAGACTCATTCTAGAAAGCGCCATCAGTAGTCTGTGTGCACAGCTGGCAAATCTACGCTGGGCATTTTGCAGCATCATTCATCTAACGAGTCTAATTATAAATTTCTCTGACAGCATTTGACTGCAATGCTCATTGACATGATTACCAAACCATTTGGGTAAAGGCTGGGTTCAGAGAAGTCAAGATAAAGGAAGCTGGGACCAAAGGCTGTAATGAAGTACCAGATATCTAGACTTTTTTTTGTTTTAAAGATTACATATGTTATTTTTTTGGATTTCATCAGAAAACAACGCTCAGCCATGGCATTCACCAACAAAGACACACTTGTGCTGGGTTGTTCTGATCTATTGGTAATCCTGTGATAATCCTCAAACAAAGGTATGTCTGGAAATGGCCTTTCAAAAGCCACCAGTTTCCAGAAAAACTCCATTTTCTAAAAACACAGATTGAAGACCTTTGGGTGGTTGTTTTGAAACTCAGTCACTTTGACAAGCACATGGCTACTATGACAGGCAGATTTGTGCCAAGTGAATTCCGGATGCTATTTTTGACAAATTGTTTGACCTGGGTCCTCTTAAGAGTCTCGGCGTGAATTTGAGTTTTTGTAAACGGATGACTCAGACTACAGCAGAGGGGGGGGGAAAAAGCCAGTTTGGGGTTTTATTTATTTAGGTCAGGCATAACAGATTGCTCTTCATGTCTGACACCATTTGGAACAGCAATGAATTGCAAAGCAGTAAAGTCTCGCTGCTACAGGCCATAAAACCCTCCTTTTGTTTTACTGCACATCATACACAGTGTGGCTATTGGACAGGTTGTTTTTTGTTTTGTTTTTTTGACTCCCAGTAACAAATCTGAAAAGAGTTGTTGTTTTTTCCTCCTCTTTTGGTGTGTCTGGTAGCACCTGTGTGCCCTCATCAATTTAAATTTTATTTAAACATAATTGTTGTACCAGTATTGTAGGAACTTTTAAATCTTTTAGGTCCATCAAACAATCAGAATTTCAGCAATGAATCAGTTTAAATGTTTTGGTCTAGTTTAATTTCTCTTGATAGTCAGGCTGGACGGCTACTTTTCATCTCGGCAAAGGAAAACATTTTTCAGCGTACGCGTCGTTATTGTTTTGCCACGGTTGGGAGACACCTCTGCTCTGCAGCCTCCCAAGTTATGACTTTCCCAAATTACGTAAGAGGCTATTTAGGAAAGCAACATGAACCTCTTCAAATAGTCACAAGATCTGAGACCATCTCAAACTGTTCTGGATGAATTGGAAACCCAGCAGACGCACAAATACAGCAATTAGTTACTCTCTTTCTGAGTTGTTTTATTATGATTTCACTTTCAGTTGGAATGGTGATGGTTGCCTTTTGTGAGATACAGAATCTTGGTTTGTCATCAATTTTGTGTCACCTGTTTTTGACTAGTGTGTTTTTTTTTTTTGTTTTTTTTTTTAAATATATATCCATTACATCACTTGGCGTAAAAGGCTACAGTTTCTATTTTCTAACCACAATAAATGACATGATTTCTCAAAAAAAGTGGGGGGGAAATTTCTCATTTCCTGTTGTGTTTGTTTTCATTGCAGACTATGAGAAGACATCGAAATGAAGTGACAGTTGAGTTGAGAAAGGTGAGAAACAATGCCCCATTCATCTACACACACAAGTATTGCAAACCTTTTTCTGTTTTTCAACCAATGGATTTGGGCGTATTGGGCTTTAACATGCTTCATATGGATGTTTCACATTAAGAGTTTCTACAAACGCTTGGGACATTTGGGAAGAAATCTGCCTTTGCAACCTGAAATTGCATAGACTGAGGGTTTAGCTTTAGCAGTGCTTTAACCAAAAAGTAGCAGCAGATTCTCTGCGCCATCTGTCTGCCTAAGAAGCATTCAGGCACATGATTGAGCTATAGCATGCTTGCCCTTGTCCAGTACACAATCACTGTGGTTAGATGCACATCCGGGTGTGTAGACTGAGTAAATTACAAGCCATTATGCCTTTAATTAACGCAGCTGGATTGATTAAAATAGGATTCTGTGTGTTCTGTCAGAGATGTGAGACGGGCAACTGAAAAACAGAGCTGAATAGCTGTATTAATAAATGTAGCTTATGAAACTTCTATATTTATATTTTGTAGAGCACAGTGAACATCCTGATGCTGTTAATAGAAGATGATCTGCACTGTAGGTCTGCTTCAGGTGGTTCTGCCAAGAGATTTGCATACTCAAAAAGGACTGGGATTACTTCTGATAATTGTTATGCCATCTGCAAATGTATTTTTGCAGTAAAATAGGATCTTAATTGAATGCAGTGTGCGCCAGTGCAACAAAAGTACCACAGGCTTCAGAATATATTCAATTTCTACTTTGTGTTGCTAAATTATGTAAAACGGCAACAACAAATGGTTCTGGATTAAAGTTTATTTGATCAACTTAAATACGGAGATTACATTGAAAGGGCAAAAATAACCTTAATTGTTTTTTCTTCCTTTCCTGTCTGCATTGAGTGTTAGCTTAACATATGAACAGAGGTAGATCCCCTCTACCTCTGTTCATAAGGTGTCATTTGGGTATTTATTTTGTCCTGCACCACAAAAGGAAATCAGTATGATGTTATTAAAATGCAAACTGATCTTTTTTTTTTTTTTTTTTTTTTTAAATCCACTTTACCGAATCAGTTTATTCATTGCTAGTATGTTTAGCTTTGAATCCATATTTTTGGGGGTATTTCAAGGATTGGCCCAATCGTTAACCTCTAGGTATAGCATCACTTTTCATTTGCTGGGTAATATTTTCAACTAATTGTGCTGCTTCTTTAGGGTGTGGAGTCATTAAGAGATGTGATTCAGTTAACTGATCTTAACTGAAAAGAAATATTGCATTCATTCTGCTCTCTGTTGTGGCTTCATCAGTGAACACATATAAATGAGTTCACTGAAAAGTCTGCGTGTCTCAACAATACCTTTTCTACCCGATCACAAGTGATGTGCTGCAGCTTGTATCATGTTTTTCTGTATGTGATTCTATTGGCATTGCTCTAGTATGGGTGTTTTCTATTGTTTTGTTTTGTGTGTTGTTTTTTGGGGGGGGGGATCTTTAGACAACTCCCTGGCTGTTCTATATACAAGAACTAGAATCCATTTAGGTTATGTTGTTGAAGCCATTCCGACAGTGGGCTCCTAATCTGTTAATTTGAGTTATT